TGACTAGGTAATAGGTAATACTTTTCGGATTCGTAGATACCCAAAATTCTACTTACGGTCTTATTTAATCATTTTGAGAATTTAAAATTGTAAAATCACCGGTATAATAATAATATTATAATGCAATCGAAAATAACAGTTGCCGATTACCGAATATATTATTATGAAGGATAATAATATGCATAAACCTATAATCTATATTTTAATATTATTTAAACAATTTAGGACACCTGACCCTGTGATTTGCGTGCGTGTTAAATTTCCGGCATCTAATATCTAAACGTATTTTATAATACAACACAATAAACTATAATTACGCGTAGGTATAAATTAAAAAGAACTCGGTAACCCGCTTTATATTTTGAAACTTACCAAGACATTTAGCATAAAATCGATGTAAAAATATTAACACGAAAAATCGTAAATTTGTAACTAGGTATGTATATATTTTTGTACAATAACTAAAGGTCAGTGGCGCCCAGGCAGGTTAGTAATAGTAATGCAATTGCATGTGTTTTCGAGAGGGGTGGGTGTATATTACTGCAGGTTTCACAAGGAAGCTTATACATTTATAACATAAATTATAGTCTATAATAATTAATTTGCATTGAACTTCAGTGAATAATAAGTGTAAATATTTTGTATAAACGCAAAATTGGGTGGGTGGGTGGCTAACTTTTTTTTAATCGCATGTAAGAGCAAAATACCTCTGTGCACCACTGCAGACTATGGTGTACGGATCGTACGAACTAAATAACAAAATTCGTAAGTTACGAACCGTAACAATAATGTGCTGGCGTACTGCTCGTACTGGTAACTGGTAAGTGGTAACTAACGGACAGACGTACACAACTGAGACATTATATATATACGCACGGTGCTCTAAAATCTAAACCATTTTATGTTTAAGACATGTTTAACACGTGTAACGTAAAGTCGTAAAGCATGAATTTCGAATTGGCCCATGAAAGTCTAATTCTTTTTATGTTTTTACAAAAGATTGCCATTGATTACAGAAATGGAATGCGTTGCCATGACATTTAATTAGTAACGAATAATGCAATGTTATTAATTGTTTGTTACTCAAATGTATATAATACCAAAAGGCATGGATTGTAAGTATATTTGTATGTATATAACTTATAAACTCAAAAACTACAAGTCTGATTTCGACGAACATTTCAGAGATTAATTTTAGAGATATCAGAAAAGTTTAAAGAATAGTATGTAAACCACGTTTAAAAATATACTTAGTGTTCTTTAGTCATATTTCGGGTTAATCCATATTTTGGCCATAGATTTGGATCTCAAACCGAGGTGCATCGATGTCGATTTCAGATTTGTCCGTGAACTTGATACACCTATATCGATAAAGCGTCGWATTTTATGTCTGCTCATATTTTGCCGGAGGAATCCATTCATTATCCACAGCTACTAAGCTAACTAGATAGCACTAGTGATTTTAAAATTTACCCTATAGATAGGAAAAGGGATGTGTACCATTTCGCAATTTAAAGAGGGATGATTTGCACGCAGAGATTGCTCGGCTTGCGAAAAACGACTTTTCTTTTGTTTGTATAATAGGTGTACCATTGATTATATAAAATAAAATAGCTTTCATAATATTGTACCTATATATTATGATTTTAGACTTGTACATTTTTGTATTTGGTCGAGATCACCCAAATGGCTGTGTTAAAAATATGTGTAATTTATATATATATATTTTATTTGTCGCGGTCAAAATCAGCTTTAGACTATATAGGTAGTTTGTTATTGTAAAAACCTATGGTTTTCAATTTTCGTCTCGCGCGTCTTTTGTACATTTAGTATAAAGTATAATATTATAAATATTATATAGATAAATAGCTTAGAAAAGACAAATGTACTCACCACTACGGTGACGATGGGCGAATTGCTTCCGGGCCGGATGAGACTGAACCCGTAGGTGGCGTGTTCGGTGGCTGTGAGGTTCAAGTACCGGAGGAATAGCTTCCAACAGTAACCGGCCGGCCCATCCCAMCGGATCAACAGGTGTCCAGCTCGTACTTCGGCCACGCTGCGGCCGCTGAACGTCTCGTCACCGGCAGCAGCACATGCCGAATCGTCTCCCAACGTGGCCGTTACCAAGCCTGCAACGTAAAACAATAACAACGTTTAGTAATAGTATATAATAATAATTATTATTAATTAATACAAATACATAATATTCATATTGTTAYGGTCGTCACTAATTAACTATCTGTTGATTCGATAATTCATAATCCATCATTATGATCGGCTTCTACAGTTCTACATAAAATCATATATAGCACAACAAAGAAAAAAGGTTTAATAACATCAAAAACCTAATGGGCTAAACTGCTAAAGTGTTATTAATAGAAAAAAAGTTACATAACATTGTTCTAACCACTTATAATAACCGAAAACCATGTTATAGGTATCATAGAGGCCGGATCTCCGTCAAAAGTGACAAGTGATGACAATAGAATATATTACACCGGATGATCCATTTTTTCCCCAAAAATTGTGTAACAAAAATATTTTCAAAAACTCTATTTTTTCTGAAATGATGAGTGTCTTACGTTAAATTGATCACTCATGACATTCTCATTATTACTGTAATAATAATAAAATTTTGGCATGAATACTGAAAATATTATAGCTTTGGACGCTTTGGTAATGATAGTATAACACTATATATTACTTTTTACTATACCTACTACCTACAGGTTGTAGACTTGTACTTATTAAGATGTAGCAAATAAAACTGAACGTTTCGAGGTTATTATTGTTAACTTGGTACAAAGTAGGTATTTGTATGATCTCGACAATACGACGACAAACGTCGAAAATCAATTATTATCGTGCAGCGGTCATGACCTCATAATGTAGGTACACGCGTAATTATTCCATTGCACAGTATATTAAATAACATTATTATTATATTATTTGTGTTATAAGTCAGTAAAAAACCGTTCGATTGACGTGACCTTTAACACAAAATTGATTTCCTTCTATACACA